CCCCCCTCCCCCCCCATCCCGTCGTCGGCCGCCCTCGTTGCTGCTTCCTCCTTCCGTTTCTCCCTTCCCCGGGCTTTTTCCGGCTTTATAACGAGATGAAGGGTGGGGAGGGCGGGAAGGACAGGGGGAAGAAAGGAGGAGAGAACAGCGCAAAATATAGAAAAAATGGTGCCCTTGACTGCGCGTGGGTCACCTGGAATAACACCAAAAGCCTTGGCCGTAAATAAGGGGCGTGAAGGAGCGGGAAATCGTTGCAACGAACGGGGCAGAACTGCTGCTGGAGAGAAGGTGTAGACAGCATTGGAGACAGATTAGTTTGCAAAAAAGCAGTAGAACAAGAGCAAAAGTGCTTTTACTAGAGAATCAGCCGTTTAATGACCTGATGAACAGGTGAACCTCCGCGCTCACGCGGGCGCACACGTACCCACTCCCGAACCCTGTGCACACAAGCAAAAACAAACACGCGGAGCACAATTCAAACCAATCATGCACGCGCGCACGCCACGCGGAAGGAAGGCGAGAACAAGCGCTGCCTGATGCGGGGTTTGATTTATGCGGGCGCGCGGGGCGAGGTGCCTTGCTTGGCCATAATAAAAGGAGAGGATCCTCTGGGGCGCGCTGTGCATTCATGATTCCTGTTTTATATCGAGTACAAGGCAGGTGACCCAGTGAAGTGAAGTAATATGAATACGAAACTTTTGGTGGCAATTGTTGTTCTCACCCACTCTCCCTCTCCCTCTCCCTCTCCCTCACTCCCTCTCCCCCTCTCTCTCTCTGTCCCTCTCCCCCTCCTCCCTCTCCCCCCCCCTCTCTCTCTCTCTCTCTCTCTCCTCTCTCTCTCTCTCTCTCTCTCTCTCTATATATATATATATATATATATATATATATATATATATATATATATATTTAAAATCCAAACTCTCCCTCTTCCCCCTCTATCTGTCCCTCTTGCTTTCGTTCCCTCTATATATGCACTCACGCATTCACGCACGGGCGCACGCACCTCTCTACCAACCTTACCAAGCCTAACCTGTGCCTTTTGGTCGCCACAGCACCCCCATCGCGAGACGACCTCTGAAGCCTCAAAAAAGTAGTGCTGCTTCAGGATTGAGAACGACCTCGATGTCGGTTTCCTGCATTCGTGAAAGTGTTGTAAAGAGGAGTAATATTTGTAAATGCGAAAGGGCCAGGAGGACCAGTGACGACTCTCTGGAGATGTGTTTCAGTGGTGAGGTTTTAGAGGCTTCGTCGTGATGGGCGGGACGAGTTTGACTTGATTAAAGGGTCGAGTTTGGCGTGAGAAAAGGGATGAGCTTGACTTGAGAAAAGGAGTGAGCTTGACTTGATTAAAGGGTCGAGTTTCTTCCTTGACTTGAAAAAGGAGTGAGCTTGACTTGATTAAAGATGCCTTGATTAAAGGGTGAGAAAAGGGATGAGCTTGACTTGAGAAAAGGAGTGAGCTTGACTTGATTAAAGGGTCGAGTTTGGCTTGAGAAAAGGGATGAGTTTGACTTGAGAAAAGGAGTGAGCTTGACTTGAGAAAAGGAGTGAGACTTGAGAAAAGGAGTGAGACTTGAGAGGAGTGAGTTGACGAGAAAAAGGAGTGAGCTTGACGAGAAAAGGAGTGAGCTTGACGAGAAAAGGAATGAGCTTGACTTGAGAAAAGGGACGAATTTGACTTCAGAAAAGGGACGAGCTTGACTATCGGGAGGTGGTTGTTGAGAAGTGAAAAATAAGAAGAGATGAGAGAGAAGAATTAATGATGAAAACCTGTCTCAGTGATTATGATTTGCGTGTAGGAAGGCGTCATGGGCAGGCATGAGTTAATGTCTTTTTTTATTGCGCCAATTCGTTTTTTAATTTTATATTATTTTTAATTATATAATTGCGCCAAACAATATATGAATAAACAGTTTAATGATGTGCATGATTGTTCATCGTAGAGTATAGAGGAGGGGAAGAAGGAAAAGGGAAAGGCGATGAGATTTACGAAGGGGAGGAAGGATAAGAAAGAGGAAAGGAAAGGAGAGCCAGTCTCGCGCGAGGCTGCAAGTCACTCGTCTCGAACCATAACGCGATCACGTCCGTTCGTGTTTTCGGTTGATGCTCCGTGCGTGGCTCTTGGTGGCGAGCTCTTGCCGCAAGCTGGTAGTTATTTGGGTTTCTGTACACACACATACACACACACACGCCCTCACACTTACGACGGAAACACACCCGATCACAACAAACAAACAGCTCGCCCACACACACGTACGTACACCCGATCACAGCAAACAAACACAATCCCTCACACACGTACGACGGAAGCACACCCGATCACAACAAACAAACAGATTACTTGCGGGTTAACGATCCTCTCGTGTCTTTTGCATAGTGATGGGTATACATATCAAAGGAGGAGGGCCGTTGTGTGCAGCAGGTTAGTCTCCGCTGTCCGTCTCTTCTGTGTGTAATCTTTGCAGACCACTTGTTATCGGTGATTTTATATGAGGGAAATTGGAGGTAGGCATAGTAGGCATAGTCTTTGGGATTTTGTGTAAGAATAATCATGTAATTTGATGATAACAATGTCCGTCACAAGCGGGCGGGCCATGTGCAAGGTCATTGAACCTTGCTGAACCAGCTGAATCCTCTGGGTGTAGAGGAAGGTGGTGTTAAAGATGGCTGGACTTCCCTAATGCTTGATTGGAGTTAGAGGAGGATGAGAACTATGTTGAGCGAACTTGGTAAATCTGAATAAAGCAATATAGAAAGAGGCAAGCGCTTCGGGCACTTTGGTGACCTGGCTCGCCGTCGGACATTCGCTTGCCTTGACCGTGCATCAGGAGATACAAGCATACATATTGTTCTCTAATAATGACATTTACTGATCATATGAGTACCGTAAAATTTGCATGATAGAACGCGTTTACACACGCGCGCACGCACCCCTCCACACACACAAATACATATACATAAATATAAATGTATGTGTGTGTGTATATATATATATATATATATATATATATATATATATATATATATATATATACAGAGAGAGACAGACAGACAGACAGACAGACAGAGAAGGCAGAAGACAGAGAGCCAAGGAGAAGGAGGAAGGAGGGAAGGAGAGGCAGAACGAGAATGGAAAGGAGGTGGCGGCGCAAAGCGACAGATTCACGGAAGCACAAAGAGCGGAGAACCGAGGACGAGAGCAGCGCGAGCGGGACAAGCAGGACACATCGGGCACTGCAAAAGCCGATGTTGAAAGTCATGGTGGATTGTGTTGCAGGCGGGGGCGAGCGCAACGAAGGGAAGGAAGGGGTGAACGTTTGTGTGTGGGAGGGAGGGGGGGGGAGAGGTGACGAAGAGTAGGG